AAAAAAAAAAAAAAAAAGACAACAAAACAACAGAGTCAATCTGGCATTTTCCATAGATATTCATGGGATCCGTGTTTCTCAACCAAAGAGCCTCATGTATTTCTTTCTAGCTGAACCCTCAAAGAAGATGAGGGCTTGTGGAAGGTGGGAGGTTCTGGGGGAAGAGGAAGACAACAATGAACTCTGTCTCAGATAGGAGCAAGAAAAGTGTGGACCTGAAGTGATTTAAAACATACACCAAACTGTAATCCCAGGGGCTCAGGAGGCTGAGGCAGGAGGATTTCGAGTTCAAAGCCAACCTCAGCAATGGCCAGGCACTAAGCAACTCAGTGAGACCCTGTCTCTAAATAAAATACAAAATAGAGCTGAGGATGTGGCTCAGTGGTCATGACTTCAGTCCCTAGCACTCAAAACAAGAAACAAAATGACAAAAACATACACCAAAAGCTTCCCTGGCCTCTGGAGCAGGTAGTTAACAGTGAGAGAAGGTAAGTCCACCAGAAGCTGCATTGTGTCTTTTTTTTTTTTTTGGTTCTGTACTGGGAATTGAATCCAGGATGCTATACTACTGAGGTATATCCTAGCCCCCTTTAATTTTTTAAATTTTGAGACAAGATTTCTCTAAGTTGCTTAGGGCCTTGCTAAGTTGCTGAGGCTGACCTCGAATTTGGAATCCTCCTGCCTCAGCCTTCCGAATTGCTGGGCATGCCTGGTCCACTCTATTTTTTTAAAATCACTTCTGGTCTAATATTTCATTCATTTTTTGATTATGATAAAATATAAACATACAATTTACCATTTTAACCATTGTTAAGTGACATTCAGGACATTGACCTCTCATGTGCAGTTATCACCATCATCCATCTCCAGAATTTTCTCATTGCCAGCTGTCCTCTGTACCCATCAAATACTACCTCCCCGCTTGCTCCTCCCCCAGCCCCTGGCAGTCACCACCTGTTCTCTGAGTCTATCAATCTGACTGCTCTAGGTGCCTCACATCAGGGGAGTCATACAGCATGAGTTCTTTTGTGACTAGCTTATTTCACTCAGCACACTGTCTTCACGGTTCATCCGTGTTATGTGTGTTAGAATTTTTCCTTTTTTAATATTGAATAATAAATAATATATATGTGTGCCACACTTTGTTTATCCATTTATTCCTTTGAACATTTGCTTTCAAATTGACCTTTTCGATATTGTGAATAATGCCACTGTGAACAGGGGTGTGTAAGAATCTCTTTGAGACTCTGTTTTCAATTCTTTTGAATATATACCCGGAAGTAGAATTACTAGATCATATGGTGATTCTGTTTTTTTGTTTTGTTTTGTTTTAGGAACTGGCAACTGTTTTTCATTTATTTTATATTCCCACCACCTTTTCACAAGGATTCCAATTTTTCCACATCATCAAGATTTGCTATTTCCTGATTTTTCTTTTTTGGGGGAGGAGGGTACCAGGGATTGAATTCTGGGGCCCTATTTTGTATTTTATTTATTTATTTATTTTTAATATTTATTTTTTAGTTGTAGTTGGACACAATACCTTTGTTTTATTTTTTATGTGGTGGTGAAGATCGAACCCAGGGCCTCGCTAGGTGAGCACTCTACCACTGAGCCACAACCCCAGCCCCTTGTATTTTATTTTAGAGACCAGGTTTCACTGAGTTGCTTAGCACCTCGCTTTTGCTGAGGTTGACTTTGAACTTGAGATCCTCCTGCCTCAGCCTCCTGAGCTGCTGGGATTACAGGCATGTGCCACTGGGCCTATTTCCTAATTTTTTTGGGGGGAGCGGAGGGTACCAGGGATTGAACCCAGGGGTACTTGGTCACTGAGCCACATCCCCAGTCCTATTTTGTATTTTATTTAGAGACAGGGTCTCACTGAGTTGCTTAGCACCTCGCCCTTGCTGAGATTGGTTTTGAACTCGCGATCCTCCTGCCTCAGCCTCCCGAGCCACTGGGATTACAGGTGTGTACCAGTGTACCTGGCTCCCGATTTTTGATAGTGGCCATCTAATGATGTGAAATGGTACATTTTCTTAAGCAAATTCATGGTTATGGCATTTTAAGAGAGTTTGTCTGCCAGCTGATTTTCAATTAATATTTCATATTCAACAGTACTAGCCTTAAAGGACAGTGCATTTGACAATATCTAACAATATTAAATATACCAGATTAAATGCTTTTCCTTAATTATCCCGGACCATCCTATTAAAGTCAATTAAAATCGATACTGTAAGCTGGGCATGGTGGCATATGTCTGTAATCCCAGCAACTCAGGAGGCTGAGGCAAGAGGATCGCGAGTTCGAGGCCAACCTTAACAACTTAGTGAGACCCTGTCTCAAAAAATAAAAAGGGCTGGGGATGTATCTCAATGGTTAAGTGCCCCTGAGTTCCATCCCTGGTACCAAACAACAAAAAACAATTCAGTACTCGAGTCTATCATAAATATAGAATGGCCAGCGCCACACAGGCAAAGTAGTTATGTGCAACATGGAAGAAAGATTGGGAATCTTGGAAAGGAGAGAATACAAGTCATCTCAGTAAATCCATTTTATTTTCCCTAGAGAATACATGTCAGGGAAGAGAAGTGGCTGCTGTATTGACCACTGTTAGTTTTTAGGATGTCAGAATGATCACATATACTGTGAATCCCGCTATTTATTTTATGAAGATAGAGCTGCCAGAGTCAGCTCATCTCACTGTTTGCTGTTTTTAAGAAATTGCTTCTGGGCCAGGGTTGTAGCTCAGTGGAAGAGTGCTTGCCTAGCACGCGTGAGGCACTGGGTTCGATCCTTAGCACTGCCTAAAAATGAACAAATACACTAAAGGTCTACTGACTACCTATAACTAGAAAAAAGAAACTGCTTCCACCAAAAGTATCACACCTTATTACTTTTTGTAAATTCTTCAATGTTCAGATGGGTCAAAAACATTAAAAATAAAAATAAAAAATCGCCTCGTGTGCAAGTCTGCAAGCCATGTGGTGAGTCCCTGGTATTAGCAAGGAAAGGAAGAACAATTTTGCTCAAGAGCTCCTTCCAAGAGCTGCTCATTTCTTGGCTGCAGGAGGCTATTTTTGCATTCTTCCTGTTCATCCCCAAAACGTAAAATGTCATCTCCTGAAGCTGAGCTTTCTCTCCAGCTGCATGCCTGTGAATTGGATGAGGCTCCTTGCAACGGTTGACATTTGGCTGTTCTACTAACACGAAATCCCAACTATGAAAACAGGAGGCTTCAGTCTCTTAAGATCATGTATTGCCAGAGGCATTACATTTCCAGGCTTACAGAAGTACTAGTCCCTGGTTGTTTTCCATCAGGGCACACTTGCCAGAGACAGAATCCCTTCCACATATAAAACAGAATGGCCTACTTTTTCCCTGGCCTCTGTTTTTATCTACACAACACTGTACTACCAGAATTCCTGAGAGCCGTCTCCTGGCTATGGATCTTGTAAAGTATCCACCTTCTTAAGAAAAATTACTTGGCAGTACATTAATAGAAGTTTGCAGTGTAGTCACCCAGAAAGAAATAAAAGTTAAGTAAAATTAAAATGGTTTGGGATTAAAAGCGGTGCCTTTGAACTCAGGCAGCCTGTCCAGGCTGCTAGTTTCTATCAATTAAGTCCCCTAAGCAAGTGCTTTCTTCCACCCAGAGCTTTCAAAGAATGTTCTGCTCCACAAAACTGTTTCATGTCTTTTATGTGCAAAGTCCCCTTCTGAGGGAAGGGTGTAATCGAGTTGTTTTAAAATTTTGATAGGAACCCAGAAGGGTGTCACTAAGATTAATTTCTGTATTTTTTTAAAAAAGAATCGACCCGTTGTTGGTCAACGGTATAAACCTAAAAGCCAAACCCAGTGGCTTTGCTCTTTCCAAACCCGCAATTTCCAGCCCTGAACTTTCTTTGGTCCTTCAATACCCTGCAGGCACAATGTGTAATAATTACAACTTCTGAAAAATGCCGGCCAATATTCTGGCCTAAGGAACAGAAAACCATGCGAGGAAAGACTGGATCAACCAGTATGGAACACAATACCCTATCTGTTCCCAACAGCAGAGAAAAAAGTCACTCGTTAGCATTCACCTCTGCTGTTGCTTTTT